CTGGAGCACAATTCTGCAAGAAGGTGCTGATTTCACAGCAAATGCCAGAAATGCCGAATCTCAGAATAAATGGGCTCCTGTTTATAAAAACTGACCATTTGTAGCTCCAATAGTTACCTACACACCTACTGCAGTTTGTCTTATACTAGGAAGCTCGTCTCCCTGAGGAAGCTCCAGCCTCTTCCAAGAAAACCTCAAGCTGGGCCAGAGAGCATGAAGAGAGAGTTTTTTTTCTCCTTTTGTTCATCATCATTTCACTTAAGGCTCAACAAAACCATCTGTCATACACTGAATATTTCATAGATGCTTCTGCATTTGCCGAGCCCCTAAATGGCAATGACCTAACACATCCATTTGTTTAAAATACCCTGACAAAAAGGCTATATTTGTGCTGGGCTGAGATTCCCCCATCAACCCTTTTAAAGAGGCCTCAGTATTTTGTCGGTCTCTTAGGGGAGGGAAGTCCCACCTGATCTAGATAGCAGTCAATTAAGGCCTGATCCTGTGAGGTGCTGAACCCCTGCTTTTCCCATCACCACTTTGTTGGAGTCTCTCCACACCTCACAGTATCAGGCTGTATTCACTCACCTGTGGGTCTGCAAGCCTGGAAATGTCTGGCTTCAGGTAGAACATGATCCCCTCAGCAGCACCAGGCAGGGTGACCCCTCGAATCAGCAAGACAAAAAGCATCAAGTAGGGAAATGTGGCAGTGAAGTAAACAACCTGGAAGCAGAGAGAAGGATAAAAAGGGGATGTTGTCACCCTATAGATTATACATCCAAAGCAAATCCCTTAACTTTATTATTAACAACACCTGAGTCTTTAAATCCCCAAAGCCTCTGCTTTCACTGAATTCTAATTAAAGGTCATGAAAATATTTCTATTCATGACCAAGATTTCCAAAAGCGAGCAGTGAATTTGAGGAGAACAAGGCAGCAATTTGAGACACCCGGCAGAGGCCTGATTTCCCAAGAGTGATTGTTCACCACACTGAAAAATTCAGCCTCTTTAAGGCATCTCAACTTGAATCTGAGAGCCCCCAAAAGCTTGATGTATTTTTGAAAGCCTTGACCACAGTTTTTGTAAAGCCCTCCTGTCCTCTCTTTTGTATGGGAAATGAAAGGCATTGGTTTAGGGAACGGTTTGAGCAGAATGAATCATTCGTCAAG